ACCGGAATACAGCTTGGCCATGAATACGGAGCAGAGCAATACGTTTTAGAACTGCTCGCAATATTGATATTTTTTAATACGATGTGCAAAATGCTGAGAAATATGCTTCGAAACATAAATAGAAACCCTAACCTATGCGGAATGAGGTGGCTCATGAAAAGAGGCGACGCTAGACGAAATAGCGAAGTTCATTAAACATCTGATTTATAGAGGGATTATTCACACCACGGGCAACCAACTATACTGGAGCACCTAGAGGCTCTTATGACACACAAAAAAAATTTGTGAGAGAATTCAACAAGTACCCTTCTGTCTCACGAAATACCGAGCATTGCTTCACTGCATGGCATGAGCAACGAAGCATCACGTTCGTCCCGATTTTCTTTGTCTATGTTAATGAAAACATTTTGTACAACATTTACTAGTTTTTATATTGTTTCTGAATAATTTGTATTGAAAATGTATATTCTCAATTTTGTTTGCCTTGAATATTTTTACATATATATATTGTTGTTTATTGCACGGTTTACCTGCTGGCAACCAAAAACTATACGCTTTTCACATTTTTATTCATATCTAAAATATATTTGTTGCTCCACAACATATATTTTCGGAAAGAGCATTTCATTGTGCAAAAGCTTTTATGCTGCAATGCGTGCTGGAGTACTTTTCAAACTGGCAAAAGCGATCTTCCCAAGACATCTGAAAAATAAAGATTTTCGCACGTTAAAGAAAACGTTCAACAAATAATAACTTCAAAACCAAATACCCTACAGCCAACGTTCGTCACTAATAATCGATCAGAAGTGGGCAAGTATGGAGGACTATTAAACAACACAAGCATCTCGAGCTTCCCAATTTCGCGTTAGGAGTGCTTTAACCTGCTCCAGATATGCATTTTTGTGCTCCAACAGCAACATGTCGCTGCTCCAAATCCTATTGCAGCTGTATCACACCTGCTTTTGCAGCACCTCTTTTAGCGGTCACCAAGGTAAATGCGCTGGCTCTTGTTTCTTCAAGCTTGCCATTTATATAGGACATTTTTCACAGTTTGGATCGAAGTACAGCATAAGTTTCCGATATCTTGCCTCCATAAGAAACACAATTTTTTTGTATTAGTATGTAACGCTTCTAATTTGACTGGTGACTGTATAGGTTGTAATGGCCACTGCAGGCTGGAACATTTATTTGGAGGTTATGTTTCCAGACAAGCTTCATCGGACATTTCACGTGTAGCTATTCTAGTGGGTGTACGACATGTACCCTTACTGTACCGCTCCTCTTGCAAATGAGCCCGGATAAGTGCAACATTGGATTGCGCGATTAATCTTCTGTGTCTGCCGTTGCATTTGGCTCCATAGTTTTGTACAACCACATACTGCACAGATATGTTCCAGCACACCTTTAAACGTGGTTTGGTCGAGTGTAGTCTATGTCAGCCCTGCTTGTACATAGCATCAATACTGCTTTCATTGAGTGCAGCACATATATCTTCGAGCGTAATTTTTTGTGTACACCTGCTAAAATGAATAAAAGTATTACATCGGCCAGGATTGCCAAGAGTGCTATAACTTCTGTAGGGTGATTGAGTATAAAAGTTAGTTCATTATCGTCATCAGTGTAACTATGCCCACTGCAAGGCAAATGCATCACCTATTGTTAGTTTATGTCAATAAAAACACTAGTAGCATAAAGAATATACGAACAATATCATTTGGATTGCGACAATATGTGAAATGGTACAAGCTTTGTCAGACTTTCAAATCAGAATTCCGAGTATTGCCATAGTTGTCATAAGTCATACCACACAAAGTTGTATAATCTTTTGAGAAGCTGATTGTCTTTTCAAAGCGCAATAATAGCCCTGGCTGCCAGTCACTGAAATGCAGTAAAGGTAAGTTTTTATTGATTCTGATGAAACTGGTTCAGCAAATGTGTCCGTTGGCTCCATTGGCAGCCAATATTGTCACGGGGTCGTGACGTGGCCGAAGACAGGAGACTTTGTGTTGGAACTTAACTGTTTATTTGGGCGAACCTGTGCCCGGTAAACGGAAAGTCCGATTACAGTAGCAGTCTTGGACTGATACAAAAAGAAGTTTATTAACTTCATACTCAAAAAAACTCTTTACATCATTCTATACATACAGTGCTCGTTTGACACCCCTCTTGTGCACTATGGGCTGATAGCGGCGAACGGAGCGTCGGCCTTCGATCAACAACTGACAAGCGGAGAAGCGCGTCGGCATTTATACTCTTGCCGTCGAATGTTCTAGCGTTATCGCTGGCGGTGGCGTAGGTTCCCGAACAATCTGTACCGTTTGCACAGTGGGCGTGATCTTATCGAAATGATCTACTACAGTCCGGAACCTTCTCGAAAACTGCAGGCGCGGTTCGCGCTGAGAATCGTGTGGTGTTTTGTGACGATAACAAAAACTGGGAAAATGGAACGTGGCATTGCCCCCCTCTGAAAAAAGGCATCGTCCCGATGCTTTAACTAAAGATGAAGGTACAATAATAATGCAAGATCGTACAATGAATAAATTACGATACAACAATAATACGAAAAAATACTGTTGCAGTTTGTTAACGCGCATGAAACGGCTTGAGGCGCGCGACATGGACGACTTCAGGTCGCGATCGGCATCGTTGAGAGTTCGTGATGCCGTCGGGGACAACCTCGTAATCAAGTGGGCCGAGACGTCGAACCACCCTGTACGGTCCGAAGTACCGTCGCAGAAGCTTTTCACTTAGTCCACGTCGGCGTATCGGCGTCCACACCCAAACACGTACACCGGGCTGGTATTCCACGAAGCGTCGTCGAAGGTTGTAACGGTGGCTGTCGGTCGTCTGTTGATTCTTGATACGGAGACGCGCAAGTTGTCGGGCTTCTTCGGCGCGTTGAAGGTACTCGCTCACATCGAGGTTTTGTTCGTCGGTGACGTTGGGCAACATGGCATCGAGTGTCGTTGCCGGGCTCCTTCAGTAGACCAATTTGTATGGAGATATCTGCGTCGTCTCCTGCACCGCCGTGTTGTATGCGAAGGTCACATACGGAAGAATGGCGTCCCACGTCTTGTGTTCGACATCGACGTACATTGATAGCATGTCGGCGATCGTCTTGTTAAGCCGCTCGGTGAGGCCATTGGTCTGTGGGTGGTACGCTGTCGTCCGGCGGTGGTTTGTTTGGCTGTATGCCAAGATCGCTTGAGTTAAGTTGGCAGTGAATGCCGTTCCTCTGTTGGTGATAAGGACCTCCGGGGCGCCGTGACGTAGGACGATATTTTCGACGAAGAACTTAGCTACCCCGGATGCACTGCCTTTTGGCAGGGCTTTTGTCTCGGCGTAGCGGGTGAGGTAGTCGGTAGCTACCACGATCCACTTGTTTCCGAAAGCCGACGTCGGGAACGGCCCCAGTAGGTCCATACCAATCTGCTGGAAAGGTCGGCAAGGTGGATCAATTGGCTGCAGAAGTCCCGCTGGCCTTGTCGGCGGTGTATTGCGTCGCTGAAAGTCCCGGCATGTCCTCACATAACGAGTGACGTCGGTGCTAAGACGTGGCCAGTAGTACCTTTCTTGTATCCTCGCGAGCGTGCGAGAAACACCGAGGTGCCCTGCCGTCAGATCGTCGTGCAGGGCCTGCAGGAGTTCTGGTCGCAGAGCTGAAGGCACCACAAGGAGGTACTTAGCTCGAAGCGGTGAAAAGTTTTTCTTTTGTAGAAGACCGTTTCGTAGAAAGAACGACGCAAGTGTGCGCTTGAATACTTTCGGGACTTCGGCGGTCCTGCCTTCGAGGTATTCTATTAGAACCTTAAGTTCCGGGTCGGCCCGCTGTCGTTCAGCGAAGTCGTCGGTAGTTATCGTTCCCAAGAAGTAGTCGTCATCCGGGTCGTCGAATAGCGGTTGGTCGACAGGCGCACGAGAGAGACAGTCGGCGTCGGAGTGTTTTTTGCCGGACTTGTAAATGACAGTAATATCATATTCTTGAATTCTCAGGCTCCATCGTGCGAGGCGACCTGAAGGGTCCTTCAACGTGGCTAGCCAACACAAGGCGTGGTGGTCGCTCACAACTTTGAAGGGCCTGTCGTAGAGGTAGGGGTGAAATTTCGACGTAGCCCAGATGATGGCGAGGCACTCCTTTTCTGTTGTGGAATAATTTGCTTCTGCTTTGGATAGCGATCGGCTGGCGTAACTAATAATCCTTCCAAGTCCATCAGCCCTCTGCACAAGAACGGCGCCAAGACCTACGCTGCTTGCGTCAGTATGTATTTCTGTCTCGGTGAATTCGTCGAAATGGGCAAGTAACGGAGGCGTCTGGAGGCGATGTTTAAGCTCCTGGAAAGCGTGTTCCTGTGGCATTTCCCACTTGAACTCCACGTCCGCCTTGGTAAGGTTAGTGAGAGGATCGGCGATGCGGGCGAAGTTTTTCACGAACCACCTATAATAGGCGCACAGGCCCAGAAATCGGCGCACGGCTTTCTTGTCAGTGGGCGGTGGGAAGTCGGCGATGGCGGCTGTTTTCTGTGGATCGGGACGAGCTCCAGACTTGCTGATAACGTGCCCCAGAAACAAGAGCTCCACCACCACCTCCGCCAGATGTCACGGGGTCGTGACGTGGCTGAAGACAGGAGACTTCGTGTTGGGATTTAACTGTTTATTTGGGTGAACCTGTGCCCGGTAAACGGAAAGTCCAATTACAGCAGCACTCTCGCACAGATAGCAGTCTCGGACTGATAGCGGCGAACGGAGCGTCGGCCTTCGATCAACAACTGACAAGCGGCGAAGCGCGTCGACATTTATACTCTTGCCGTCGAATGTTCTAGCGTTATCACTGGCGGTGGCGTAGGTTCCAGAACAATCTGTACCGTTCGCACAGTGGGCGTGATCTTATCGAAATGATCTACTACAGTCCGGAACCTTCTCGAAAACTGCAGGCGCAGTTCGCGCTGAGAATTGTGTGGTATTTTGGGACGATAACAAAAACTTGAGAAATGGAACGTGGCAATATTTTTGTGCCTTAGGTTTATTACACTAATTTATTTGTGCACAGAAAATAATTGTTCCTGTTTCTTTTCTAGGATTCACGTTGCATCATTCTGGAACAAGTGTGGAAACTTGGACACCTTGCAACCATGGGGATTCACAGGACAGCACCTGCAGAATAATGTCTGCTATTGAAAGACAAGTACAATTCTGCACAATAAAGTCGTGTCTAAGGACATCTAAGCATTTCTTATCAGTTTTAAATGCAAAAGCAACTGGAAACAAATAGTTGAACATTAGGGCAGCCATAGCAGTAGCCCGCGTGTCAGTGCTGCTTTTCCCCAGCACTTAGAATATTGATGTTGTTTTCACACGGTGATTATCTTTCTAGTGATTACTAAGAAAAATATCAAAGTCAAGCAAGAACATGCGCTCCGCCTAAAGCTGGATCAGACAAGAAAAATGGCACGATCCAGTCCAGCAGCTTGCTAGAGGGCCAGCCAATTGCATGGTTCAGTTGGCTGAGTAGCAAGAGTGTTCTGGTTGAGGTAGTGCCTGTTAGAATGCTTTGCCTAATGACTTGCGTTATTCTCTTCTGTCCTTGTGACTCCAATTCAAGGTCATTTGTTCAAGCTATGGGAGCTTGAACAAGTGGCCTTAAGTCTAAATAAAACATTTCATACTTTCAACTTAAATTAGTCGCATGTAGAGCAGAGCACTACCTTATTTAAGCTTATTGAGATGGCCGTAGATATCCGGTATCTGTGATGCATAATGCGTATCGAAATGACATTTCTCAGTGAACATCAACTTCTTTATCTTTGAGGGAAGCAATTATAGTTTTCTTGAGGCTTTCGTGGTTTGTTTTTAGCTAGCATGTTAGAAAGCAGTACTACAGAGTGTCCAGTCAAGATGTAATAAAATTTTAGGTATAATCTTTGTTGTAAATTTAAGTAAACAAGCGTTCGAATCGCTTGTCCCCAATTGGTGTCTATGGGTCTTACGACCACACCAATGGTGACTGGAAGGCACCTGACTGAAGAATAAATGCAAGTCTTTCCTACAAAAAAAAATGGCAGCATATCCACGGAGTGAATGATGGAGAGTTGGGCGAAGCATTCCTCCGTCCATTCGTTCTTGCTTCCGTTCGTCCATGCGTCCGTCCATGCGTCCATCCGCCCGTCCGTGCGTGCGTCCATCCCTGCGTTCGTCCATGCATCCGCCCCTGCGTCCGTTCATGCGTTCATCCATGCATATGTCTGTGTGTCCGTTCGTCCATCTATTCAACACTCCAAGTACCACCATCTCGCATCTTTTCATCATATATTTCCTATATAGAAGCACCGCCATCCAGCGGACATTCCACGGACTAAACGGGAGGTGGCACACGCACACTTTCTTACGGCTTGCGCTTCGGGTCTACTTCCTACCTTTAACCACCACGAGTTCATGGTATGTATTAGTTCACAGTATTCATGGCACTGCGACCCAACGCTCGCTAAACCTTTCTAAAACCAAGGAGGTTACGCCCAGCGAGTATAACGTAGCAACCTTTTCCTGTCAGATAGTGCTCAATATACATGCCAATGGGTGCTAATGGTAAATGAGAGACAGGAGAATTCGGCTTTTACTTTCTTACGGCTTGCACTTCGTATCTACTTCCCACCTTTAACCACATCGAGTTCATTCACGGTATATACTAGTTCATTGTATTCATGGCACTGCGGCTCAACGCTCGCTAAATCTTTTTAAAACTAAGGAGGTTACACCCAGCGAAGACAGTCATGGCAGAACACGTGGAAGCCAACCAAACGACCATGTCAGATATGAAAGATGTCTTTGACACGCTCAGAAAAGTAGTAGCCAATCTTAGCGAGCAGATGGGTAGGCAACAATCAAGCGTGGTGGCACTGGAAGAGCATATGACTTTGCGCATTACAAAGGTCGAAGCATATCTCTACAACACATCAAGGCCTCCTCATGCATAAAACTCACCTCTTCGGCCACCAATACTAGTGGTACCAAACCTGTCGACAGGTGCAGCATCAGGCTCTGGCCATCCATGTAATAACCATGATGGCAGCGCTACGTGAAGCATTTCGTATCTGGCAATGGAACTGTAGAGGTAACCTTAAAAAGAAGGCCACCCTACAGCAGTATATAAGGAGCAGCCAAGAAAAGCCTCATATTATATTATTGCAAGAGGCCCTTTCACCGCAAGCAACGTTGCCTGGATTCCGGCCTGTAATAGGGGATACTGAAGGGAGGGGAGTCTGCACCTTCGTGTGCAACAAGATAACGCACGTAACCCACGACCTCAAGAAAAAAGCAGGCCGGTTGGAACACGTCATGGTAGAGATCGTGCCAGGTATCAGCAACCGTCAGAGCATTTTGATTCTTAATATATACAGCAGTCCAAAAGAACAAAAGCAAGAATTCAAGACGGTTCTAAAGAAAGCTGTTAATAACGCCGGGGTATGTCCACTCGTCATAGCAGGTGATTTCAACGCCCCTCATCATACATGGGGTTACAAGTACAATACTGGGAAAGGAAATCGACTTTGGCGAAATGCCAGTGAACTTGATCTCACCCTAATCACAGACCCCAGCCTACCAACAAGGCTTGGTACATCTTGCTGCAGCGATTCTACTCCGGACCTTACATTTGTAAAAAAACATCAAGAAGGCCCAGTGGATGAACCTTGCTGTAGACCTAGGGAGTGACCACTGCATTCTTGCCACTACCTTCTTCATGGAGCGTAAAAAGCAGAGACAATTCCACTTCACAGACTGGGATAAGTTCAGGAAGATACGGATGGAAAGGGAACAAGATGGCACAGACAAGGCTTGGAGCAGTGGGTCAAACAGAATAAAGTGGACATCAAATCAGTCTCATCCACCATTACCACAGATTTTCCGGTTAAAAGAATGGATAGCCAGCTCGCTCATCTCCTTGAGGCAAAGCAAGCACTACTGAACCGTTGGAAGGGTCAGCGCCTGAATCGAAGACTGAAGAAGAAGATAGCTAAGGTAAACAGATCAGTCGAGGAACATTGTCGCACACTATCCAGGCAGCACTGGGACGAAATCTGCAACTCCGTCGATGGTCAGATGCGCAATGGCAAGACATGGAATATGTTAAAACATCTCCTCAACAAAAACACAACCAAAACAAATCAAAAGCATGTTATCGCTCGAATTTTGCATAAAGAGATAGGGCGCACTACAGAACAGCAAGTTGTGCAGCGGCTTTTGCATAAGTACCTCCCAGTCATAAAAGGATTGGCACCACCAAGTAGACAGTATCAGGGCACGCCCAATCCAGGTCTTGAGGGCGACTTTAACATCGAGGATATCAGAAGAGCCTTCCTTGCATGATCTCAACGGCAGGTCGGCCCCTGGCCCGGACGGTATATCAAACAAGGCCCTTCGTAACCTTGATGACGATTCAATTGACACCCTGAAGGATATGATCAATGCAGCATGGAGAGAAGACGGGGTGCCTGAGCAGTGGAAGCTGGCCAGCACGATCCTTATTCCTAAGCCAGAAAAGCCCCCAAACTTGGACAACATGAGGCCAATATCCTTGACATCATGTATCGGCAAGGTTGCAGAACATACCATACTGCACATGATAAACAAGCACTTGGAAGATAACGACATATATACACACAATATGGTTGGATTCAGGGCAGGGCTATCCACACAAGATGCATTGAAGCTTATCAAACACCATGTCATCGACAACGAAACCAGAGACGTGAGAGCCATTCTGTGCCTAGATCTAGAAAAAGCGTTTGACAACATCCACCACTCATTCATACTCGAAGCGATTTCCAAGCTTGGTCTGGGGAAAGCCTTCTATGACTACGTATGGTCCTTTCTTACAGATCGGAAAGCCGCGATGAAAATTGCAGATATCGAGACCGCAGCAATCGAACTAGAAGCAAGGGGCACGCCGCAAGGGGCAGTGATTTCACCAATGCTGTTCAACGTTGCCATGATTGGACTGTCAAAGAAATTATCGAGCATTGAAGGATTGAAGCACAGCATCTACGCAGATGACATTACTATCTGGTGCACAGGTGGAAGCGAGGGGCAGATTGAGAGCGCCCTGAAAGAGGCGGTTGACACCGTAGAAGAGTACCTTCGTCCTTCTGGGCTCAAGTGCTCCTCGAGTAAGTCAGAACTTTTACTGTATCGGACTGCACGCCGGGGACCGAAGCCCAGGGGATGGAAGCCGTTAAACCACATGGCCATCCACCTCCGTACAAATCAAGGGGATGCCATCCAGAGGGTCGACTTCATCAAAGTCCTGGGCATGCTGACAGAGTCTAGCGGTGCCAACAGCAAATCTATAGCCAACTTAACTTGGAAAACAGACAGTGCGGTGCACCTCATACGCAGAGTGGCCAACAAAAGAAATGGGATCAAGGAAGACAACCTCAGCAGGTTGATGCATGCGTTTGTTCTAAGCCCCTTCACGTACGAGGCAGCAGTGCACAACTGCTCAAAAGCAGAGTCCGAGACACTGAATGTGCTCCTCAGGAAAGTTATCAAGAAGGTCCTGGGCCTACCCATACATACCAGCACCGAGCGTCTACTAGAGCTTGGCATTCACAACACGCTCAAAGAAATAGCAGAAGCCCAAGAGAAAGCACATTTATCAAGGTTATCTACAACAAGGTCGGGGAGAATGATCCTGCAGGAGCTGGGCCAACACCCAATGGCAATCAGACGCAATTACAATGATATCCCCGACAACATCAGGGAGCATATCACAGTGTCTCCTATACCAAAAATCATGCATCCAGAATACAACATCGGAAGAAGAGTAGCGAGGGCCAGGACTATACTTTTATTTATTTATTTGTATATTAATTATACCCTCAAGGCCATGGGCATTGAAGAGGGGAGTGGGAGTAACAAGATGTACAAAACATAGAAAAAACAGAGCATGTGTTTAAATAGAAAAAAAACATAGAGAATCCTGATTATACAATATTAGCTAACGCTTGATGAAACAGGTGATTAACGCGTATGGAAACAGCATCGGTGGGAAGGCGGTTCCACTCTCGGGATGTTTTTGGAATGAAAGACTCAGCAAAATATTTAGTGTTAGATGAAGCAACTCCAACTTTATGATTATGGTCAATTCGACATGATATGTACTGAGGTTGTGAAAGCAGTTCAGCATGGAGAGAAGCATGGTAATAAACCTTATGAAATAAAGTTAGGCGAAAAATGCGACGTCGTGATGCTAAAGATGGGAGGTCAATACTACTTTTCATTGCCGTTACACTTGCCGTTCTATTGTAATTTGATAGAATGAAACGGGCTGAATTATTCTGAACAAGTTCAAGTGCGGTGAGTAAGTTGTCGTGGCAAGGATCTCATACTGGTGTTGCGTACTCTAGTTTTGATCTGATTAGTGTTTTGTATAGAAGAAGTTTTAAAGAAGACGGGGCTGAAAAAAAGTTTCGACGTAAATAACCTAGAATGCGGTTTGCCTTGTTAATATTGTATTCGATGTGTTTCGTCCAAGTTAAATTGTTGGCAATATGAATACCTAAGTACTTGTAAGAGGAAACGGTTTCAAGTGGTGTATTGTTCAGGTAATATATAGGCATACAACTAGTAGTTCTCGATACACGCATTACTTCACATTTAGTGACATTAAGTTCCATTAACCATTCTTTGCACCAGTTGCTTACACTAGTTAGATCTGATTGGAGAGAGTAGGAGTCGTTGTCAGCAGTTATTCCCCGAAAAATTACGCAGTCGTCGGCAAACAAATGAACATTAGAGGATATAAGAGAAGGCAGATCGTTAATGTAAATAAGAAACAAAAGAGGTCCAAGAACAGATCCCTGGGGGACACCAGAGGAAACCTGGCTGAGTGAAGAGTTATGATTATTAGCTGAAACAAATTGCGAGCGATTTTTAAGGAAACATACAATCCACTTCATTATGGTGTCATCAAGTGGGAATTTGCTTAGTTTGTGTAGTAGCAGCTTGTGGCATACCTTGTCAAAGGCTTTGGAAAAGTCTAAATAAACACAGTCAGCTTTTGATGATTGGTCTAAAATGGGATGTAGCTTGTGAGTAAAAGATATTAACTGTGTTTCGCATGAGAGCGATTTGCGAAAACCGTGCTGTGCAGATGTAAAAAACGAATTTTATTCAAGGAAATTGACTACATGTGAGAATATGATATGTTCCAGTAATTTACAGCAGGTACTAGTTAAAGATATAGGGCGGTAATTTGCGGGGGATGTTTTTTGGCCAGATTTGAATAGTGGAACCACCTTACCTATTTTACATTGTATGGGTAGTGTAGATGTGTCAAGTGATTGCTGGAATATTTTTGTTAAAGTAATAGAACTAAATAAACTTGTATTCTTCAAAAACTTCGAGTCTATTAAATCGTAACCTGGAGAAGAATGGTATTTATGTCCAGCAATCAACTTAGCCACACCTGGCGCTTCGATACAGATGGAGGACATTACAGGAAAATGATATGTCTGCACGCTAGGAGCATTAATTGTGGAAGGAACAGAAAAGTTTTTCGTGAATGTATCATTGAGCACAGCCGCACAATCACTCAAGGAAATGGAATTGCCCGATGCGTCTTCTAAGTAAATACTGTTATCATGTGGCGGATTTATGACTTTCCAAAACTTTCTAACGTTATTATTAAGCATGGATGGCAAGGTTTGGGATAAAAATGAAGATTTAGCAGCTTTTAGTGCAGATATGTAAGCGTTCAATGCTAATCTGTAAGCTTCCCATCGGGAATCAGTTGGCGATTTCCTGGCAGAACGATAAAGGCGCTTCGTACAGTTAGACAGCCTTTTCAAGTGGGCGTTGTACCACGGGGCGCGATGATTATACGTGATAGTGCGTTTCGGTATGAATTTTTCTGTTAGATCGTAAAATTTACATGCAAATATATCCCAGTTTGTTTGAACAGAATGATCATTGAAGTTTGCCAAAAAGTATCAAGAAAGATGGATAACTCGTGATTAATAGCCTGAAAGTTCGCCTTTTTGTAGTCACGAATTACTTCTTGTTGTTTGAAACTTTTGGGAATTATGCATTAAAAGAAAAACTGAGAAGAGAATGATCGCTGATTCCGGGCAAGTACGTTATGTTGGAAGTAAAATCGGGCCGCGTAGTTAAAATTAAGTCAAGAGTGTTGGCTGCGTGAGATGATATTCTAGTTGAATGATCTACTAATTGCGTTAAAGAAAAGATAGAGCAAAAGTTAAAAAACTCAGCAGCTTGTGTCGAAAAAGGAGAAATGGAAGCTGGTTGTGTAGTCCAATTTATGTTCGGAAAGTTAAAGTCGCCGAGTAAAAATAAGGGATAACTGGGGAAACGTGTTACGATGTGGTTCATAACGTCGTGGAGTTCGTTAACAAATGTTGAGGACGACGAAGGGGAACGATAGCATGCGCCTAGGACGATTTTTTGATGGCCAATAGTGAGCAAAGCCCAGATAGTTTCAAGAGTGGTGGTAATATGTATGCAAGAAGAAGATATGTTTTTGGATATCGCTAACAGAACACCGCCACCCCGATGCGCAGTTCGATCACAACAATAAATTGCAAAATGACTCGCTTGATTAAAAATTTCTGAGTCCTGCACATACGCACGGAGCCACGTTTCGGTTAGCACAATTATTTGTGCATCGCAGGTATCTATTGCGGAAGATAAAGAATCATATTTGTTAAGAAGGCTTCTTATGTTCGTGAACAGAACGGAGATCCTTGGGTTAGATTTAGGGCCACTACCCCTCGCGCGTTCCTAGGAAGGGACACGTGCCTGGATGTTACTTTCGAAACCTCGACCAGGCCGTTCTACTTCAACAACCTGTCCAGCGTTAGTATCAAACATGTAGCATTTTTTGTTAACATATAGCTTGTTGTAACGTAAGTTAAATTGGGGGGATTCTGGCAGATTTTTTGCGAAATCAGTGAGCTTTTTTTCGGATGATGCGCGTAGCGGGCGAGAAGTCTTCGCTAATGCCTATGTTTTTTATTTTAAATTGGGAGCGTGCAGACAATATTTTATCTTTAGTTTTGATGTCGCTAAACTTTACAATGATGGGACGGCATCGGTTTTGCGAAAATGAGCCTAGTCGGTGTGCGCGATGAATCGAGTTTGGCGAAAATGACCCTATGAGGGACGTAATTTCAGTGACCACCTTTGCTTCAGTTTCTTCCCAAGATTCTTTGACATCTGGAAACCCATGAAAAATTAAATTGTCACGTCGAGACCTATCTTCAAGCTCGTCCAGGCTAGCCTGTAACAAGCTGTTTTGAGCAGTAGTTTCTGATACCTTACTACGCATGCTTGATAGCTCACTTTTGAAGTTTTCGACAATCTTGGATTTGTTTTCTAGTTCATCTAGTCTTTTTAGTATTCCGGTTACTTTCATCTCGACGTCCTTTTGACCGTTTTTTATGGTTTTTACGTCAGCAGCTAGATCAGCGTAATTCTTCGAACTTTGAACAGAACGCACATGAACGTCTTTAAGGAGCTGAAATAGCACACTCATTTGTTCAGCGGGGTTCTCGGGTAGCGTTTCAAGTTGCAATAGCGCTTCAGAACGCGTTGTTGGCCCAGGATTAGCTTCAATATCCCCGCAACACAATAATAGGAAGGCAGTAGAAAAGCAGTCACAAATGGTATCAAACAAAACCCGTGGGCACGGGAACAGCAAAAGGCAGGTATTATTCAATTTTTTAGCATAAAGAGAATATTTTCTACACACCTGCATTGGAAAAACACGCAGATCAGAATCATGTTTGATGCGCTGCTCCCGTGCCAACTGAGGAACAGGTTGGTCCGCAAGCTGCTTTTGTGGTTTTCGGGGAGCGATGTCATTGTCGATGCTCTTGGTAGATGGTGGTCGAGCTTCGCCGATGAGGTTGCATTGAAGAATATGCCACTGCTTGTGGTTTTGACGCCAGAAGAATGCACCTGCCAGAGCAGATGCGAACACGCCGAGTCAGAAGAGACAGCTGGTAGCCAGACCACCAACAGCGCAAGCGCAGCCTGCATTGGAAAAACACGCAGATCAGGCATCATGCTTGATGCGCTGCTCCCGTGCCCACTGAGGAACAGGTTGGTCCGCAAGCTGCTTTTGTGGTTTTCGGGGAGCGATGTCATTGTCGATGCTGTTGGTAGATGATGGTCGAGCTTCGCCGATGAGGTTGCATTGAAGAATATGCCACTGCTTGTGGTTTTGACGCCAGAAGAATGCACCTGCCGGAGCAGATGCGAACACGCCGAGTCAGAAGAGACAGCCGGTAGCCAGACCACCAACAGCGCAAGCGCAGCCTGCATTGGAAAAACACGCAGATCAGGCATCATGATTGATGCGCTGCTCCCATGCCCACTCTACTTCGTCAAGTCTCAAACGAGAAACGAGGGGTCGTATTTGTTGACGCGGCTTCCTACGCCCATGATAAAGCGTTTGTGGCAGTGGTCGTCGATGGGGCTGGCCATGTCGTCAACTCAGCGACGGTCAGGACGAAAGACCCAATCATTGCGGAACAGGTGGCCATCGCCTTAGCACTCAAGATGGATAACATTGAAGTCGTCTGCAGTGATTCCATGGCAGCACTACGGGCGTTCGCCAAGGGAACGGTCTCTGAACAAACGCTGAGAATACTGCAAGGTAAGAACATAACGCATCATCTTCTGAGTTGGTTGCCAGCTCACCTTGGACAAATCAACTATTCCCCTCCCAATCTCTATGAAGCAGCACACGAGGCGGCGCGAGACCTCTCCAACCGCGCCTCCCCGGGGATGCGTTCTACCGGTGAAGGGGATGACCGGGAAATTCTTACAACATATAACGAGCTCACTAAACATTTCTACCTGTTTAGAAGGATTTTTCCTCCACCTCACAAAAATCTAACTCGGCCCCAAGCACTTACTTTACGGCTTTTGCAAACGCGGATGTACCCAACTTTGATAATGTTACACATCATGTACCCTGACCTATACCTAAGTAATCTTTGTCCACATTGTGGGGAAATAGCTTCGTTAGAACATATGCTCTGGCAGTGCACCAAATTCGCTCATTTATCGAACATCGCCTCTGCCAGATGGGAGGCGGCAATCCGCAGCTCGTCCTTGGCAGATCAGCTCTGGGCTGTCCACCAAGCCCGCGAGGCGGCTGAGGAGCTTGGCATCTCAGTCCCCACATGGGAGCTGCCCGCAACACAGTGATCTGTGTTTTGGAAGACCAAATAAAAGTTTATCCAATCCAATACACCCAGCGAGTATAACGTAGCAACCCTATTTTGTCAGATAGTGCTCATTGTACATGCCAAAAGCTGCTAATGAGGATCGCAGCGTGCGCGTTAACTAAAAGCCGAATGCTCCTGTCTCTCATTTTCTATTAACAGCTACTGGTATGTACATTGAGCATTGTTTTTATTGTTCAACAACGCACAGAAGAAATCTCTCACCGGCACCACCTTGAAAGTCAGAATGTTATACTTGTTACATACTACAATGGCTACGAGGGACAAACGGGTGCCGCTATAAAAAGCTTCGCCCCTAAAAATGCTGCTGATCTCTCACATTTTGATGATTCAGAATTTATTGGCAGTGATGCCTACAATGGCAGTCATGTGGAGCGTAATAGTGAGGAAAGCAATGGCCAACAAAACGCTTCAAATGGCACAATGCCTGAAACAAGGGGTCCAGTAAAGTGGAGGAGGAGAGCGTCAAAATATTATGCATTGTCAAGTGGAAAGGCAGTATGGTCGAATGACAGAAGGGAGAAGGTGAATGGTTGCTAAGTGTAACAGGATTATGAACGAGGTCGACTTCAGCAGCCGCTTTGTGTCCATTTACTGAATACAAGAAACAACACTATCTGAATGTTCGCTCAGTTTTTGTATATAACATTCATGCTCTAAAGAGTGAATGAAATATAAGAACAAGCTATGGTTTCGAAAACTAAAGTTGACCTAACTCAGAGTTCGAAACAAACAGGGCAACATGTCAAACTAAAGCGACAGCCGCTGTGTCTGATGGACAATGTAGAGGAGGTAACGAAACGAAAACTAAAGCAAGGAAATTCTGACCGGCTGACAGAAGCGCAACATCACTCTGTCACCACCCGACAATGTGAGACGTAACATTTGAGGAAAGTTTCTTGCGAACCCTAAGCTTTGATGAAGTAGGAAAAGCAGAAAAATAGAGTATGGATATATATCTAGAGCGAATTTTTTTGAAAGTGTGTTTTCTGTAGCCTCCACAAGAGAAACTGCTGTGAGTGCTTCCACACCTGTTAGTATCCAGCTCATTTAGGGACAGCCATGTTTTGTCAGTTCTTTTTTTGTTCTTGATCTGAATTATTTGTTTCTCTTTTGCTGCATGCTAAAGACCTAAATAAAAAAGTTACAAATAAACTGACCAGCAATTTTGTTTTAGGGTCTGAGGATGCTATTGTTCTTATGCAGGGTAACTAGTTGTCATCATTTAGAACTCTAAATAGCACATGTTTTTTGCTTGGCATACGCTGTACTTGCATTGGTACATACTTGTTGACCTTGACCCACAGTGATCAAGACCAGCGTTAGTTACATAATGAATGTGGCAATCACTTGTTTTACATTAACATCTTGAAAGGTCATCTAGAGGGCAAGAAGTTATCCCATGACAGCAACTTCCTTTTAAAGAATGACATTTATGATTACATTGAGCTAAACAGCAGAATTCTTATGTGTAAGCCTGCATGATGTCAGTTGTTTCTGATCTGATTTGATCCCGTTTAGAGTTTAGAAGTGATCCCACGACAGCCACTTCCTTTTAAAAAATGACATTGATGATAAAATTGAGCTAAACAGCAGAACTCTTATGTGGAGCTGCATGATGTCAGTTGTTTCTGATCTGATTTGTTCCCGTTTGGAGTTTAAATAAAGAAGCAATGCTGTGGTGAGTAAGGCGGTTTACTCAATGGGCCCAGGTCATCGGACGCACTCAAGACAACCTGATAACACGAAGACGTTCTGTATATTGGACGAGGACAAGAACACACACGATGAAACCTCACAAAGAACATCAGGACGATGCGAGGTTAAAGAAAGTCTACTGGCAAGTTCCTGTCCACGCGAGACGTAAGTCTACACCTTAACACTCAACGCGCCACCAAGTTTTCAAGGCGACACTCACGCGCACCGTCATTGCGGTGACCTGAAGCTCTCGCGTCGTCCAGAGGCGGCGTGCCTCGTGCTTGCGCAGTCCGTACCGAGGCGGGGCCCGGCCTAGAAGAGAATCGCCAGGGGCATCCCAGAACGGTGGTCCACGCCTGGATTTGCCTGTACTCACACCGAGAACAGCGTACCGACGGCTGCCGCGAACAGACCCGCGACAGCGTCTCTCTCCGTGGCCAGAACAGCAGCTGGCCGTGAAGGACGTTGCTTCAGACCGACCCGGGGGTAAGGTGGGGCGAGGCCCAGTCCAGAACGCACCCAAGGACTTCAATGCCGAGACGAAGCCCGGACACGGAGGGTCAGAACGAGCAGTCGGGGCGTGGCCCGAACTTGTTTATGCGCTCTGCTCCCTGGGGTTAGCCGAGCTGTCCCCGTGGCTCGGGAGCTTTTCACGAAGTACGCACACGAGCACGCGCATAGGCGAGCTTCATCGTTTCACCGCTATCACCATCATGATGATTCCCGCGCACTCTGAAATGCTCAATCGGCCCCGCACACCGATCTTCTACGTCAGAGCACGACGCACACTCTCCAGGGCAAGGTTTTTCACAACAAATGCACAACTCAGATGGGCAGCACCACATAACACATGGAGAACAAGTAAACAGAAAAAACACTTTCTACCCTCCTTCATGAAGTGAACAAAATGGGCGAAGCACAAACCATTCGATATTTTCGCTTGACCGCCATAGAAATAATAGTGTGTGTGAGCTACGTTACGATCTCGAATTTTAATCGGGTAATTTTTTTTATTTATGCCACTTCGCTATCTTCCCTATGAATGCCTGACCTCCAAGATCAGAAATGTGCAAGTTAGCAAGAGTGTACTGACGTAATTTCTGCACCTCCGCGCCATGAATGAACAAAAAAAGAGGACAACGAGTTTAAACAGTGTTAATGACAAACACAGAAAGCCAATATACGCGATAAAATTAAGGCAATGTCACAAAAATGTCGGTACAAATAGCGTTGGTCAGTATTGGCGGCTACGTTTGCAAGTCCGGCAACTAGTCAGTCATCGCCGCACAGGCCACGTTATGTTGACGCACGGAGGAAGGAAAGGTAAGGAGAGGCCCTGACGTCACTCGTTGTGAAGCCGCGATGAAGCCGGAAGTCGGCCATATTGAGTAGGCAAATTCTCCTCTCTTGTTTACATATGAATGCGAAGCAGAAGGCGCGACTCCCTCTCCGGCTCGGAAAGCACGTGGGCTGCGCAGCGGGTGTGTCGTGACGATCCGAAACTAATGGAACTGGGCTCATCACTCTGAGCCAGCGGGACACCTTCAGCGAAATCGCTTCATCCGAGTAATAACAAAGAGTAACAGCTCGCCGACAACAAAGCAACTACGAGAGAACGCGCGCTAGATGCACTGACAACGGCGAGTGCTTTCACGTCATTAATTCAGCAACTGTACAGACAACACGATCGTGCGCCTCTACGGTTGCATTCCGCCACGCGGCCGACGCAGCGTCCTGCCACTGTGTCCGTGTTCCGCGTGAAAATCACCGGCGTCAGCATTCTGCGACCGTGGTGACTGAGCACGGTGCTAGTGACAGTTGAACGTGGTTGCTGTTACGTTGAGATTACATGCAGTGCTGCTGGAGAGTGTACCAAGCGGAACACAAAAGGTATTTTAATACGCACATGCAAGTTGTTACTGTACACACACAACACGATACTACGTATGTGCACATGGTCCTCACGGCGTCTTGCTGTGCTCAACAGCGCCATCCGTTGTCACAAGCAGGAGCACTGCTCAACCGTCACTGACCTGCAAGGCGTTCGTCGTCATTCAGCTTCGTCATGGTGCCCAACGCAATTTCGCTGACACTAACTGCTTCATCCGCGTCATCCGCCGCACGACACATGGATATGCACTTGTTCTACGCACTGTTGAAAACCCGTGATGGACAAAGGGATTTGTAAACGTTGCTAAGAGTAATGTAACAACCAGGAGAACACTGCGTAACCAATAACGCGGCGCAGAGCACAGATATTGTCCGCCACGGCTCAGCACGAGACCTGGGGAGGCACACATTCCGCCGCCAGCCGCGGCCGCTCACTGCTAGACCAGATCCACTGCGCAACACGTAACCATAGCGACGCCG